CCAAAGCCTAATTATTGCATCAAAATTAACCTGGCTTCTCCTTTAATGAGTGGAATTATCTGAACAGTGCCAAGAGATGAGGGCTGTGTGCTGTACAGTTCAGGGAAACAGCCTGGCCTGAGACACAGACAGGGAAGTAGGTCTGGAGTGCCCCTGAGGAGCAGGTTGGAAATATCAATTTAAAGAAGTAACTTTCCTTACCTTTTCTGGGGCAAAGCTGCTGTCAGGTTCAGCGGATGGTTGCTGATGTTTTGCATTGAGGTCACACACATCAGGCAGGGAAAAACCCAAACCACAAATGATCAAAGTGCTTTGGACCACCTGTGTGGGAACCCAGGACATCCCTCTGGCTGCCCTGGCTGTCTCCAAACCCTGGCTGGGGGCTTGGGGACCTTGACACAAAGTCAAAACCACCTGTGGTTTCAATTTTAGCCTGTGGAAAAAACTGCCAACTCTGTATGAGGAATTACAAACCATAAGGGTTTGAGTAGTGTGATAGCTGAATTAACACAGGGTGAAAAAGTAGAATTTTGGGGATTTTTAGAAAAGGGTTCAAGGGGACAAAATGGAGGGATTTGGACATGTCCTGACCTTCTTCTCTTTCTTCTTGCCCTCCATGTCTTGCTGTGATGGTGACACTTTTCTGTTGGTTTAAGGTGGAGATACACTGTCTAACATAAATTACTGATATTGGCGTGTTATTATAAACATAGTATATATAGTTTTGAGTGTAAAATGTAAACACCACCCTAGAGGGCAGACAGAATGCCATGGCCTCCTTGCTAGACAGAGCTCAGCAGGTCAGAGAAAGAATGTTATTGATAAAAGAAAATAAAAATACTTGAGAAGCGGACCCTACTCATTCAGACTTCTTTGGCTGTGCAAGCTGGGAAAAAAGGACTTTTACATTCTTGGGGTCACCTCGATCACCAGACCCTGAGACACAAAATCCTTGCTTTGTAACAAGACTTAAGCAGCTGCAGCCTCAAAATCAGAGGCACAACTAAAGAGTGGGACCAGGAGCTCCAACCTCAGTCCTGCACAGTTAAAGTCAGCAGTGTTACTCCCTTTTGCCTTTCCTGATCACTGAATGTAACACATGCCCTGCTATAAAGGCTAGTAAAAGCTGCTAACTCCCAATTTTCCTTGGAATAAAGCCCTAAATTGTTTTTTCATAAGCTCAGCATGACACAGAGAAGGATTAAGCACACATAGATAATAAGAAAATGTCAAGAACAGTGGGAAACATTGATTTTTTTTTTTCCTAAATGGAAGCGTTTCAGAGGAGCAGGGGCCAGTCTGGAGCTCTCCAAAATGATTTCTCTGGTGATGCAAAGGCTTCAGCAGTACCTGGGTCACAAGTTTTATGTGTGCTCACCCAAACTGGCAGGCAAAAAGGGTGGAACCCAAAAAAAAAGTGCAGGACAAAAGGAAAAACTTTTTGTGCTGTACTCTCTGAACCTTTTTCCCTTTGATCCCTCTCACCAGCCTCTGCTCTCAGGATGGTGTCTCCTTGCAGTCTCATCAGCAAGACAGAGCAAGGCACTGTTCCTCTTCTCCACACACACCAGTTTCTATCACTTCAGCACTGAGCTGCTGGGGTCATTATTTATGGCCAGATCCTCTCCCTTTTTTTTCCTTTATTTTTTTCCTTTTTTTTAATTTTTTTTTTTCTTTCGTTTTTTTCCTTTTTCTCTTTTTTTATTTTTTTCTGAATTTTGGTGGGTTTTTTTGGGTTTTTTTGGGGGTTTGTTTGAGTTTTTTGTTTGGTTTTTTTTGGGGTAGGCTTTACTTGGTTTTTTTGGTGTTTCTTTTGTTTTATTTTGTTTGTTTGGGTTTTTTGTTTGGGTTTTTGCTTGTTTGTTTTGTTGCTTTTATTTTTCTTGTCTCTATTATTTTTATCTCTTTGGTTTTTCTCCCATTTTTCCCACAGTGCTGGGAAGGGGTTTGCTTCTCCAGTTTCTCCCAGGCCTGCTGTGATGGGATCTGCATGGAAAAAAAGGGATCTGAGGGCTGGGTTGTGTTTTAAGCTTTCCATGCTTAAAACGAGCCTGTGGCTCTCCAGAAATGTTTTATGTCCAGGCAGTGACTCTGTGACAGACCCAGGGCAGGAGTCCCTAAGCCATCAATTAGAGAGCACATAGAAAAGGAGCATTACTCTTGTGGATTTGCAAATCCTACTGCTGATGCTCTGTCTTTATGTCACTAATACCCATTTAGCTGATTGACCCTGTGACTCCAACAGCAGATTGAATTTTCTTTGTGAAAGGTTGGGCGGGTTTTTATTTGCCACATTGGATTTCAATAAGGAGAAAGTTAAGAATAATTAAAATAAAAAGATGTATAGTAAACCCAAACTTTTACTGTAGAAGTTTTTCTTTCTAGAGAAAGAAAAATTAGAATGAGATGTTACATTCTAGATTAATGCAAGCCAAATGAAATATCATTTACTAGATATACAGATATATGCATGGCCAACATGGCCTAAACACTGGCACAGGTATAATAAGAAAATAAATATTTTTCATAGCAATCAAAGAAAAATTACGGTCAAAAAAAAGGAGAAACTTTAAAATAGAAATTGCTTAAAATTCAATATCTGAGGAAGAGTCCCTCCAAGTTTCACTTCCTTGTCCTATTATGCTATGAGGCTATTTCAGAAGAGCAGGCTGACACACAATAGCTCCTTAGCCTCACCCCTTCAGAGACAATTCTGCACCATTTCCTCCTCTGAATTGTATTTTCTGTGCCATAGAATTACTGCTGGTTACCCACAGTCCCAGCAGATTGTACAAACACAACTCAAACACAGCCACCCTCCCAGGGGCAGAGTAGGGGCACAGGGAGAGTTCTGCAGGTGACACTCATCCATTGAATAGCTGCCTCTTTGTTTTTACAAGAAAAACAAACATTCCTGGGCCTCATCCGCTCAGAAAAGTGTTTCCAGCTTAGGTAGAGATGTGTCACCATGGATGTGGAAATTTCCATTATTAAAATGGTTTCAATGGCCCAGACCAGGTGTCCCTGGGTTCTGCCTCTGTCCCTACCCAGATGCCTAAAGGAGAATCAGGATCATGGCAGGAGGGAAGGCTTTTGTGGCACAGGAATCTTTTGAACCAGAGGATGCATCTTCCTCCTTATTAAAAAAAAATCAAGAGCCATTAGCTCTTAATGCATTGATCTCATCCACCCAACATGAGCACTTGCTCATAACATCTGTTCTGAAAAGCCAAAAAAGCATCCTCAGACCAAAATGCAATTTTACTCTCAAAGCCAGCAAAAAGTTTGTGTCTTGGAGTGACTCAAACTGAAACAGTTTAGCAAGAGGTGTCACTGCTCTGGTAATGTCACAGGAAATAAGTGCTGCAACTGAGGAGTCAAAAAGAAATATATTCCCAGGGACTTTAGCCAAGCTAAGGAAGCTTGCTTCTATTTTAAAATATCAGCTTGCTTTTCCAAGCCACCTGCAAAATTCTCTGGATGAATCCTGGCCCTTAAACACCCACAAAAATGTTCAATTTGGGTATTTAGTATAGCCAGATCCTTTTTTCAGGATGGAGAAGATGCTGCAGTGGGGGCTGGAGATGTCCTGTTGGAGAACTCAGACCATCAATGCAGGGACACTGTACAGGACACCCAGTGCACTCCAACCCCCACTGCAGGTGCTTTGTGTCCTTTTTAGGAACATATTTGGACACTTTGGGCTAATTTCCCTTGCACAGGGGATGGAAACACAGCTGGCAGGCAGCCAGCCAAGGGAATCCTCTCTCACAGGTAGGGAGAAGACCAGTGCCCTGGGGCACTCCCTCCTGCTCTCTCATCTTGGTAGTGGTTTTTTTTTTCCCAAACATTCAGCCTAAAAGCCTTCTCCTCCTCCTGTCTCTGTCCTCCCTTCACCTGCTGAGTGGCAACCATCCCTCTCTGGATTTCTCTCCAATGCTAATAGACTCTTCTTCTAATGCTCCCTCTATTCCTACAATACCAGCATGTTCCTTTTATCCCTGATGCTAATGGGCAGATTTAACTTATTTCAGAATGGCCTCATGAATCAGCAATTTTATCCTACTTGCTCTATTCCAAACCCCGGATCTCAGCACAGATAAGCAATTGTCCACAACGGGATGAATCAAAGCAACCTGACCCTGTGTAAACCCGTGTGCTTCATTGTGCTGAACAGGAATAAAATCCAACTCTCACTCCTTTTATCTTCATAAACAAAGTAATGAGGAAATTTCTTCCTTAGGCTCTTGTTGCCTCTGCCAGGACTCCAAAAGTCCAGTTCTCTGAGAAATTCTGTGCCCCCCAACCCAGATTATTTATTGTACCTTCATTTACAAGTAGTACTGCAAGTAGTACTGGTGGTTTTTCCTCATCTTAATGAAGAAGGGAAATAAAACTGAAAATGGTATTTCAGATAGAATGAGGATCTTGCTCTTCTCCCTTGGAAACAGTCTCAAGATATATGAAGGAAGACGTAAAATAGCACTGAAAAAAAGTGATTATTATGCAAGTAAAAAAAAAAAAACCACATTCAAAATGGGAAAAATTGCCAGTAAAGGTATTCCAATACCACTCCTAATTCTTTGATTGCTGCTCAATCCTGATGATATCACTGTAGGATGAGGACCTGTCAGGATGTTACGGTTGCAGATGGTTTTTTCCCCTTTTTTAAGCTGGGGGAGCACTTGGAGCTGGTGAGCCTCGTGCTCATGGTTTGCCTTTTTCTTTCATTCTGCCTCTTGGCACAGTCATTTTCTGGTGTTTGGAACTTTATACTCCTCTAACAGTTGAGCTAAGTTTTTGTATTCTTGTGTCTTTTTAAGCATCAAGTCTGGTACTTTGGGAGGAAAAAATCTTCCTGGGCAAAGGAGCACAAATACAACCGCTGGGCCCTTATGCTGGCAAACCCTTTGTCAATAACCACTTGGCTTTAAAAGTGCTGATTATACACAGAAATGTTTGTGGGATCAGGGCCAGTGGCTGCGTTTTTAATTACTTACCTGTGCCTGGTGGATCTTCCATTCTTCAGCATTTTATCCAAGCAGGACAGCAAGGAGAACGCTGCCCTGGTTTTTGTCCTAACTGATCCTGGTCTTTATGTGGGGCTGCCAAAATATTCCCCCCATTAAATCCGGCAAGTCAGATAACTCATTACCACGTTTTCACCCCCACATCAGTGCACGACACCCGTTTCACCAGGGGAAGGACATCGCAGTCCGGAGCTGGGGACACCCCTGCGTTGGGAGATCTGGATTTTGATCCCGATTTCCAGGCAGGCTCACACCTGCATCCCCCTCTCCTCTCCCTCTCCCCAACCACCGGAGAGTTTGGGAAAGTGGGAGCGGCGGCTCCGAGGGCACATCCAGGGCTGGAGGCAGCGATGGGAATCGCAGCTCCCGGTCCTACCTGGAGCTGGCCGAAGGAAGAGGCGCCTCCTCAGCCGGAGCGCCCGCAGCGCATCCTCCGGCGGCTCCGGCTCTTCCCAGCGGGATCGCCGGGATCTGCGGGGCTACAGCCGCCCGGCTGTGCCCCTGTCCCCGGGGCTCATCCCCGGCCCGGCTCCGGAGCCAGAAGCGAAGAAAGGCGGCGATGCGGCAGCGTAACCTGAACTCCCTGCCTGCCTCTTCCCTCTCTCCCTCCTCCCTCCCTCCCTCCTCCTCTGCCCTCAGTGGGTAACCTCTGCGGGAAGGGCAGGTGAGGAGCTGGATGTGGATGGTTTTGGAGGGGGTAATTCGGATGGGAGGTGGGAAGCAGCTGCTGGCAGCAGCGGGAGCTGGAAATGGTGTCAGAGCAGCGGCGGCTCCTCCCGGCGCTGCCAAAGTTCGGCTGGGCGCTCCCGGTTTCCCACAGCACAGCCTCGCTTCGCTCCGTGGGACAGAAATCTGCTCCAAAGCCCTCGCTCAGGCACCCTCGGAGGGGTTTTTCCTCATGGGGAATGACAGAAAAATGCAAAAACACCGCCCCGGGGAAAGGGGAAAGCAAGGGGAGCAAAGCTCACCCTGTGCGCGCCGCTGAGGTGGTTTGAGCATCCCTGACCGTCCTTCCCCGGACCCCCCTTTGCCTGACCCCCGAGCATCCCTGACCGCCCCCCGAGCCCCCAGCCCCGAGCCTTGGCTTCAGGGCAAAGGACCAGCCCAGGCAGGACACCCGATCCCTTCCCAAAGCCGCTTCCAATACTTGGAGCACGTGGAGAACTGCAGCGCTTTTACCTTTGTGACCCGTCCTCTGGTGACAGCAGCTTCACACCACAGCAATTATTGAAGCAAATGGCTCCGGGGGAAAGACATTTCTCTTCTAAACGCTGCAAGCTACAGCAGGGAAAGGAAAAAAAAAAAATTCCCAGACAAACGTTACGGATAAAGCCACATATTTAATAGCAAAATACCCAGGGATGATCCAGGGCACTTTGAATTTCTAGCCAGAAAATATTTGCTTTGATTTGTCATTGTAATTTTTTCTTTTTTTTTTTGAAACAGGTTGTTAGAGCGCAGCATAAGAAAACACGAGACGAATCAATCACTGAGAGCTGCTGGCAGCTCCCTTTCTCCTCCCCCTCCACTCCAAGGCTGGAGATGGAGAGATGCAGTTAAGGAGAGACACAGAACGCTGTTTGCTTGGTCTACTCTGCAGGAGAAACACAAGTGAGAAGAGAGGTCCAGATCCACTTCCAGATTTGCTGCAGAAAGGACTGCCCCCAAAAGCCTTTTCCTTTTTAAATTATTCAAAAAAATACTCCCAGGTAGATTTAGTTTCCTATAATGAGGAAGTATTAGCTAAGGCACCCAAGAATGCCTGTGCCTCCCTCTGCCTGCATTACTGTCTCCTTTGTACTCCAAGTTCCTAAAAACACCCTGCCTTTAGTTTTGGGAAAGTGCTAACACTTCTTTTGCCACAGTCTGACCTACAAAGTCCGACAGCTACTGAACACAAAAGCTTCTGGATGCCAACGATCTGCCCTCCACCTGGAAATGGGGCATTTTCCCATGGAAAACAGGAACACAGTGTTGGAGCTGGAGCCCCAACCTCTGCCCACATCGCTGGTGAATATCACACTTCTGCTCACTGGCTGCCATCAGGACAGCACTAAAATGAGAATCATGGAACCACAGATTTGGTTGGGTTGGAAAAGACCTTAAAGCTCATCCAGTGCCACCCCTGCCATGGCAGGGACACCTTCCACCATCCCAGGCTGCTCCAAGCCCCAAATCCAACCTGGACTTGGGCACTGCCAGGGATCCAGGGGCAGCCACAGCTGCTCTGGGCACCCTGTGCCAGGGCCTGCCCACCCTCACAGAGAAGGATTTTTTTCTCATATCTATTTTAACCTGCCCCACTTCAGCTCAAGGCCACTTCTGCTTCTCCTGTCACTCCATACCCATGTGAAAAGCCCTCTCCAACTCTCTTGTAAAGCATTAACTGAGAGGGGCTCAAAGGTCTCCCTGCAGCCTTCTCTTCTTCAGGCTGAGCAATCCCACCTCTCCCAGCCTGTCTCTATAGCACAGGTGCTCCATCCTTCTATCCCTGCTCCATACTCATTCCAGCAGCTCCCAGTTTTTCTCATGCTGAGCTCTGGATGCAGCACTGCAGGAGGGGCTCACAGGGGCAGTGTAGAGGGGGAAAATGCATTATCAATCCACATAAAGCAGTTTCCACTGCCTCCAGCCAGGCCAGCCACCTGCAGGTCACTGCTCCCAGCCTGCTCTGTGAGTTTTAGCAATTTGCTTCTCCACGGTTTTTAGGCTGCCCAGCTGTCAGCAAAGGCTCCAGGGCACTCACAGCACTCACTGCACGGGCAGATTACACAGCCCAGGGTCTGGGAGGGGCACAAGGGGAGAGAAAATAAACTCTGGAATATCAAGCCTTCATGCTGGGGAAAAAAATAATAACCAACAAGCACAATCTATTCCCTTCTGCCTCTGATTCAGGGCTGTGTTTGCTGTGTGAGTCCACCCCTACCCCAGCACTTCAGCAGAGTAATGCACACATGTGCCTGCATTTCACCAGCAGTAAATTTAAGCCAACATATATCTACATGAAATCAGACCTCAAAGAGTGAGTCAGGGCCTAAATCAGTGTTGCAATTGAACTAAAATAATCAAAGCCTGCTCTAAATGCACATAGCTTTAACCTGTCACATCAAATGAAGATTATATACTTAAACTGTAATCTTCCTGTTCCCTTAGTCATCAAAAGAGGACAGATCAAATTAAAAAAAAAAAAAAAAAAAGCAGAAGAGAGTGTGGATGCTGTTCAGAGGATGAGGAGGAGGGGCTCTTGGAGCAGGATATTCCCAGAATCATCAAATTTGGAAAAGCCCTCCCAGCCCATGGAGTCCCAGCTGTGCCCACCTTGTCCCCAGCCCAGAGCACTCAGTGCCACCTCCAGGGGACACCTGCAGAGATGGGCACTTCAAACCCCCCTGGGCACCCCCTGCCAATGTTTAATCACCCTTTCAGTGAAGAAATTCTTCCTGATGCTCAACCTGACTCTCCCCTGGCAAAACTTGAGGCTATTCCCTCTTGTCCTGTCACTTGGAAGCAGAGGCCACCTGGCTGCACCCTCCTGTCAGGGAGTCACAGAGAGTGACAAGCTCCTCTCTGAGCCTCCTTTTCTCCAGGCTAAAAAACCCTCTGAGCCCTTCCTCATGTGACTTAAAATTCCACTTGAACCAAGGGGTGTTTCTGCCTTCCAAGCCACGCTCAGCCCCAAACTCAGCCCCTCCAGCACTCCCATCCATTCTTCAAGCAGAAATCTGCCAGCTTGAGTTGCTGCTTGCATCAGTGGCTCTTTGTTGTTGTCTCCTCTGCCAGGTCTGGGTTGCCATGGCCTGGCTAAGTGACAGTAAATATTCCCACACCCCAGTTTTTCAGAGTTTGAAGCAGGCAGGGATAAGGTCAGGCTGCAAACACCCACCAAAAGATGCCATTGTTTGGCTGGGGCTGAGGTTTGCTGTGATTTGTTTTTTCAGCAGGATGAAAGATGTGAGCTGGAGCTGTGTCCTTGGGTTCCTCTGAGCACACGTGCTGCTCAGGCAGCTCTGGGGGCAGGCACACGAGCTCTTGCAGAGGAAGAGGTCACAGATTTGCACTCTGCCACTTGGTGTAGGAATGGGATGTTTTGATGGCTTCACTGCCTGACTGCACTGGAAGCTGTAAGGATATTCACTCTAATGCAAAATCAAACCCAATCTTCATGCAGAGCTTTTCAAGATTTTTCTACAGAAATCTACAGATTTATTTCAGTCAGGAGGAGGAGTTTTGTTGAAATAACACCCTCAGGCCTTCAATGGCTGCAGTTTATGTTACAAAGACACAACAGCAGTGCAGATCAATCTAATATGAGGAAAATTGTTGCAAATAAAACCTACTTGTGAGGCAGCAAAATGGTTTTTACCCTCATATTTACAGGATTATAATTCTATTGATGCAAAATTGGCGGGTTTTACCCAGAGAAGCTGTGGCTTCCCAATGTCTGGAAGTGTCCTAGGCCAGGTTGGAAGGGGCTTGGAGCAACCTGGGATAGTGGAAGGTGTCCCTGCCCATGGAAGGGGGTGGAATGAGATGAATTTTAAGGTCCCCTCCAACCCAAACCATTCTGTGATTCTGTGGTTCTAAACCCACACCTTTGGCAGATGGTGCAGGGACTTTGGTAGACAAGAACACGAGGTACCTCACTATGCATGATTTAAATTCCCTGATTTTATAACAGCACCTCTGCCACGGGGCGGGGGGGAGGGGGCTGGAACAGTGCTCACTTAATGAGATCAAAATATGTAGAATTATACTGTAACTTGTGCAAACAAGGTCCAAATACCTCTCAGCATCAGCAGTTAACAAGGTAAGAGGGTAGCCAGCGTTGTGTATCCCCAGAGCTGATTCCTGCACCCATCAGTGCTCCTGTGGCTGCCTCCAGTCCTGTTTTAATCCCTCAGGGCACAGAAAGGTTTTTCCTGCTGATAGAATCATGTCCAGGCAGGTTTTGAACATCTCCAGAGAAGGAGACTCCTCAGCTTCTCTGGGCAGCTTCTTCCAATGCTTTGTCACCACCACAGGAAATTCTTCCTTCATATTCAGATGAAAATTTGTGTGTTGCAGTTTTTGCCTTGTCCTGCTGCTGGGCACCACTGAAAAGTCTGGCCCCATCCCCTTGGCACCTGCCTTTAAGGTATTTGGGTGCATTGATAAGGTCATGGAATTCCAGAGTGGTTTGGGTTGGAAGGGATCTTAAAGCTCATCCTATTCCAACCCCTGCCATGGCAGGGACACCTCCCACTGCCCCAGGCTGCTCCAGCCCCAGTGTCCAGCCTGGCCTTGGGCACTGCCAGGGATCCAGGGGCAGCCACAGCTCCTCTGGGCACCTGTGCCAGGGCCTGCCCACCCTCACAAGGAAGGATTTCTTCCCAAAATCCTCCCTGAGGATGCCAAAGCCATCTCAGCACCTCAAAGAGCAGGGTGAGCCCTGGCTCTGTACAGCTTTCAGCTCTCCGATCCTCTGAGGATGGCCTCGGGGCTGGCAGCCAGGGCTGTGTGGGTTTCAGCCCATCCTCACCCTCATCCCCACAGCCTCACACCAAGCAGGGCTCAGAGGTTTGGCCTCAGCTGTGACCTACACAGAGCAGGCAGCTCCTTCCTCATCCTCCCGTCTGGCTGAGCCCTCTCAGCTGATCCCATCCCATGTCCTGTGCTGCTCTCCAGGGCCTGAGCCTGTGGCATTCCCATTCTCTGGACAGAGAGACACAATTCTGTCCCTCAGCAGAAGCACAGAGAGAAGAAAAGAAAACAATCTTTATCTCTGCTGCTTTGTTTTCCCCGTGTGGAATGTGGTGTGGAGATTGTTTACCTGCAGGGACGGCTGGGTTGGATTCTGGTGAAGGTTGTTTGGGGTCAGTGACCAATGGATCCAGCTGTGGCTCGGGCTCTCAGCACAGAGTCACGAGTTTGAGCTAGACAGGTAAGTAAAAAGTGAGTATGTAGAATAGGATAGTATCTGTTTAAATAGTATGTTAATGTAATATAGTATAGTTTTAATAAATGTAATGTAATGTAGTATAGTTTATGTAATAATGTAATATAGTATAGTTTTAATAAAGTTGTAATATAGTATAGTTTTAATAATTCTTCAGCCTCCTGATCTGGAGCCAGACATCATCATCTCTTCCCTGAGCTGGGGTTTGCCACATTTTTCCTATGAGTCCCCTTAATTCTTCCCTTCCCTTCCATTGCTGGCCCCTCCTTGAGCCCGAGGCCAGCCCTGGCAGAGCACAGGGATGACATGGTGGCTCTGGTGCTCTCCAGTGCCACCAGCCCTTCCCACCTCCCTCCTTTGGCCTTAGGGGGACTGGCTTGGAGCCATTCAGGCTTTAACAAAGGCATTGGCTTGTTTCAATGAGCAGTGCAGGTTATGAAATGCTGGGGCACCAGAAAAGTGCAGCACAACCTCGCTGCCCTCGCTGCCCAGAGCTCTCCTGGAAGGAGCCCTTGGCATACCCGTGTGAGAAACATTCTGCAGCTGTGGGAAGTGGATTTGTAAACAATTCTCAAAACCTGACAGAAGGCTCATCTGTATACAAACCTTGAAATAAAAAATACTGACTTAAAACCACCATAGAATAAGACAGACATTGTTAAAAGAGAAATTGAGCTAAAAACAAGTTTTGAAGAAAGGCCTTACAAAAAAGACTAGATACTTTAGAGAAATAGAACTATGGCAGATGCATTGTATTAAGACCCACAAAGAGTAATTTTAGATTTGCAGCATGGTGTAGCAAAAACTGCTAGGCCAAGAAACACTTATAGTGTATTGTAACTAGGAATGGCTGATTCTGATTGTGATAACATGAATTGTAACACCTGTGTTATCTCACCCTCCAAATGAAACTAAAACTAGAATAAAAATTATTTTAATACCTCTCAGTTGCCCCATCTCTGAGTCAGAAAAGGGCTTAATCCAGCATGCAGGGACAGGGACTGGATGCAGCTGAGGGTGTCCATGCCTGGCTGGGCACAGTGACCCCCTGAGCCCCCAGAACTGCCCTCTCTGCCAGCAGGCACGCAGCACTGCCCTGGC